ACCAAATGAATTATGGATGAGAGCTGTGAAGACACAATGGAAGACGGTAAAGCAGCTCACACAGCAAAGTGATTTAAAGATTTATATGATTTAAAAATAACTCTTACATAAAGGAACAGTGATGGTACTGGGCTGTGCTGGTGGCCTACCCTACACCCAGGAAAAACTTTTCCTGGGAACCACCCAAATGTCACACCCTCCTATAGCACAGAAACTAAACAGCTGACAAAGAAAAGTAACAGTTTTCACCAAAAATCATGGAAGCTCAGCCAACTGAGAACTGCCTCACCCAGCATGTGACCTACAAATACCACAAGCTGGGCTGAGGAAGGGAGGGAGCAAAAAGTCTAACCTGCAGAACAAGAATGAGCTCAACATCTGCCATGAATTTCAGTGCTGGCAACTACAGGGATGGGCAGTGTTCTAAAACCCTAAGGAGAATCAAAGCAATGCACAGAAAATAGGAGGGAAGAAGGCAAAAGGGATAGCTATTTTCATGGGCTCATAAGCACAGAATCCCCTCCTAACGTGAGGGAAGAAATCACTCAAAAGAGCTTGAGATCTACCAGAAAAAGCGAAGCACTAAGGCTCTGTTGGCCAGGGTAAGACTTCCTTTCTCTGCACAGGAAAAACTGGTTTTACTGAGGCTTAATATGACAATTTGATAATGTGATATGAGGGCTTTTGCAGCAAACAGAACTTTCATTTTATAGACTGTTTTGCTATGCTGGAGAGACCTGTCCACATCATCCTGAGGGTAAAAAAAATAAAATAAAATAATTGGGAATGAGTTCTGCAAGTGGATTATGTCTTTTAGTCTGCTGAATGACTATGGGAATGTGACCTGTGTTGCCTTAAAAAAAGTGAAGGCGTACTAGTGATTTGGATTGTCCCAGGTTCATTGACAATTGCCATGGGGAAGTAATCATTAAATGCTGCAGAAAAGCCAAGCTAAATAGGGGACATTTCCTTCCACAGAAAGGGAATCAAAAAACTTCTGTCATAACATCGAGCTGTAATTGAGAAACAGAGCAATGACTAAAGAATCGTAAGAGACCTAAATTAAATACAACTGGGATTTCACATTCCTTATGAAAATTAAGGTTTTAGCATGAGATAATTAAAGCAAGGATAGCCAGCTCATGGTGTGCCAGAACATATAACTCAGCCTGTCATCTTCGTTCCTGAGAGTCCCTCAGAGTTGGTCAGGAAGCAGGCTGTCAGCCGCACAAATCACTCACTAACCCACGGCAGTCTCCCTGCAGTTCTCCCTTGCAAGAGCCCCACAGCCTTCCTTCTGTCATGTAGCTGGACGTGCCCTAAACACAAATGATAGATGCCATCATCGCGTGGAGCATGCCCATTCAGTAAGATGACAAAAGGACTTAGGTACATATGCCCCCATCACACTTGACTGGGCTATGGTCAAGCTGTGAATGCAGATCAGTTACGTGACAGATAAGCACGCGTTCCCTGGGTGCCTTGGTCAGGGGATATTGGATTGACCTGGCAAGAGAAGCCGAGTGACACCAACCTAAACGAAGTGAAGAAGATGAAGACAAGTGTTGTGGAGCTTTGGACATGTAACAGAGAAACAAAGATAAAGTAGTTGGAGGATGTGAAGGGAAAAGCCGCAAACACACATTGTCAAATAACGAAACATTCATGCAAGGGAATTATTGGTGGGGGGAAGGAGAGGAACATCTTGATGACATGAGAAGAAAAAGAGAGGTGAAGATGAAAAACATTCTACTAGAAGAAATATAAAGGTTAAGAAAAAGAAAGGCACTACTTCATGAACTTAAAAGACGGAACTTTTCAAAACTAATGAATCAGCCATGAAAAAAATAATGTGTGAAAAGACAAAGGGAAATATTAGGAGCTTTGTACTACAAAAGAAATTCAGAAGTATTGAAAATGTGCAGCTCTTACCATTAGATTACATTACAGCATATATAAGAAATGTAAAGAAAAGTAGTGACACATTGTAAATATGTTTCCCTAAAGAGAGAGAAAAATTAAAATTCAAAAATGCAAAGGGTTTTTATTGGGGGCGGGGGGGGGCATATCAGGAAAGAAACCAGCGTTAACTGCAGCACAGAGCTGGGGATAGAGAAATGATCGGAGACACTGTGAAATACTGTCTGCCACGTTCACTCAAGGAACCTTAACAGTTTTAACAGAGGTACTGGGGATCACCACCACCTCTCAATACCTGCCAGATGAATCTTGGGAGAAACAAAGAAGATGCAATTAAGTCTGTTGTTGATAAGCATATCTGCCCAGTCACATCAACAACAGATCTTCAAGCCATCTACACAGAAATACAGTGAAATGGATTTGGTAAACAAAGAAGCATTTGGATTTTTTTCTTCCATTTTGTTTTAGAACAGCTGGAGGAGAAATGTGTAAATATTAATCATAAGCTCCACTATTATTGCCTGGCCTCATGTAACAGGCTCTTAGATTCATCACAAAAACAAGCAGCTCTCCAAAAACCTCAGAGGAAACAAAACAGATGAAAAACAAAGTGGGGGGAGAAAAAAAGAGGGTTGAGACCATAGACAAATAAGAGCATGATAGGACATAGGGTTTGAAGCAAAACAGCTGATATTCACAGCTATCAGGCTTCTAAAAGCTTCGAATGAAAAATGCTTCCGCTACCATAGGCTTTGAAATATACCACTCTTAGAAAATATTTTACTCATAAGACTAACGTATAACACAATCACTAGTGATCAAGACCAGAATAAAGTTCTCTAGGTTAATAACTAAATTATTCAGACCCATTCAGAACTCCAGCACGATTTCAGGACTATACTATTTGTTTTAATCACAGCAGCATGAACCCTGAAGCAAACTGTACTTCCTCTTAGAGCAAAAACTGGAACTAACAGAAAGTCTTAGCTTTAGAGAAGAAGTATTTTATTATGACAAAATAAGCAATCACACCATCGATTCACTCTTTTAGCATCTGGCCTACTGCACTGCACGATGACCATATGGTTTTTATCCTAGGTTTAAAATATTTCTGTTTTGGATGTCACTTTGCTTTAAGGCTGTTCTAATCAGTTTCTTTCAAGGTCAATATGGGCATCTAATACAGGTATGTCTTACCATTCACTCCAGACACCCCAGAAAAATCATGTTCAGGGAAGGATTTCGTTTGCAGCAATTCCATGCCCAATAAATCCATTCACTTTTCACTTGGCACGAAACTGTTGATTAACTTTATCAGCTGACAAGCTGGCCACGTGGTTACTATCACAGCAGACTGTGGCTTCCCCTCTTCATGATACTATTTAAATAACTTAACATTTACGTGCTGTTTCACTCAGTCTCTCTTACCTGTTAACCTCTGCCAGAGTTTCCTCCCTTTGACAGTCACCGCTACTTGCAGTGTCTTCCTTAGTGTCCCTGTAAGAACAGGACTGAAGTGCTTTGACCAACCAGCAATTGCCCTTCACTGTGGCAGCTGCACAGCAGGGGTCGGTATGTCCAGAGGGTGAGCTCCTGGGTTCCTTGACTGAATCTCTCTTCAGCACTTGCTTTTTGACACCCGCTATCCTATGGATTTAAGGAGAAAAAGTGTTTCACCCTGCTTTCCCAGGTTCTCCCGGCCTTTTGACAGTGCTTGCACAACAGACCAATTTTATTTTAGATAGGGACTACTATTTATCATAGAATCATAGAATGTTTTGGGTTGGAAGGGACCCCTAGAAGTCATCTAGTCCAACCCCCCTGCAGGGAGCAGGGACACCGCTAACCAGATCAGGTTGCTCAGAGCCCCGTCCAACCTGGCCTGGAATGTTTCCAGGAATGGGGCCTCCACCACCTCTCTGCATAGTGAACACTACCAAAAATCACCCATAAACGAGGAGCTTGCTCCATTTCATTTGTACCTGGAAAATACAATTCCTAATCATAGAATCATAGAATGTTTTGGGTTGGAAGGGACCCCTAGAAGTCATCTAGTCCAACCCCCCTGCAGTGAGCTAACTAAATCAGGTTGCTCAGAGCCCCATCCAACCTGGTCTTGAATTTCTAAGTTCAAACGGACTTCATACGGACGAATGCATTTAATCAAACTGAAACAACTTCCAACAGCACTTCCACGGTGAGGCCTCACTGCACCCCCGGCCTGCACTCACTCCCCTCAGCCCGGGCGCAGGCGGCGGCTCAGCCCCACGCAGCGGCACCTAGAGCCGGTGGGACCTTTAACGCGGAAAAAACGTTTTGTTCTAAGGGGTAACTGCCGAACCTGCACCCAACGGCCCTCTCCGGCGATGGGAGCACGGGA